ATCCACACCCACACTCCCACACCCACATCCACACTTCCACACCCACACCCAACTCCACACTCCCACACCCATACCCATACCCACATCCACACCCATCCACACCCACACCCACACTCATACCAACACACACCCACACCCCACACCCACACACCCACACCCACACCCAATATTTTCTTCACGATGTGTGTGCCTATCTTCTCTTTGTTCATATTAACCATGCGTCATACCCAGAAAATTCTTGAGGCACATAACAATGTTCTAGTAAATATGTTGGCTTGAAGAGTCTTGAATGCAAATAATTCCATTTTTAATCAGTATTCGCACTATTACATCTAGACAACGATATTGACCAATTCATACAATGAAGGAACAAAATAAATGTATCATGATAGGAATTAACTAATCGCGATATGGATGTTGGCATGTAATTAATCTACATCGTTTGATCGAGTGGATGAATTCTTTCCTGTAAATTTTTGACGGTAAAACAAAGACAATGAAGGTAAGAGCTGACGGACAAAATGAAACAAAATAACCGATTAAGAAACGCCATGGATCACGTGGTGACTGCATACAGTTGGATAGAAATGAGAGGACGAGGCGTGGCAACGCCAATAGCACAAGTATACATGGAGAAATTAAGAGGTATTTATTTTGATGAAACTGTTCACGTAGATGTTCTTTATATGTTTGTTTTGTACGTACAATTGATCGCTGTCTAGCAACAGTAATAATGATGATGAAAGTTGATATACCATTGATAAAAAAAGGAAGTAGAAAATGAAAAAAAAGTATAATAGAATCATAGAGTTTGATCGCAGATGAGTAAGAAGTAATACACCATATTCGTTGCTCCTCTATATCATCGATCAAACGGCGATTAAGAGGATCATGAACCATGCTAAATGTAGTAAATAAAATGACGAAAACAATGATCCATTTAGCAATATATTTGCTTTTGTTTTTATTAAAACGTGTACCTTTTCGAACAGCGAATGCTCGTTCAGCGGCTACACAGGCATTTAACCAATCGCCTGTACTTAATAATACTCGAAGAAGAAAATCCATTGATACACAATTGAACAAGAGAAATGATCGATGAGTGTTGAAAGCTATTTGTGTATAAATGAGAATGAAAAATTTCAATAAGAAAATGATCATAGTAAGAAGAGAGACACTTGATGTCGATAAAAGATAGAGACCACAACCAACTTTTCGGCATGTTTCAGTTTGAAATGTAACAATCGAAAAAACACTACTGATAAGACTCAGAACAAACATAATAATGACTACTATGGCACTGATTTTAACAGAAATTGGTTGTCGTGTAAAAATAATGTGTGGACGGATTTTATAGCCGAGAAGAACATCGAGTGATAAGGCAAAACCTGCAGTCGAAAATTGACAATATGTACCATAAAAGCATTCGGGACAAATACACATCGATGCTGTTGGACATGTCGGTTTATCTTGAAAACATTGAGCTCCATTTTCACAAAAATAACTTCCTTGACAATTGTATGTCATATTGTGATTGAAACCAAAACAATTCGCAAATCGATTAGTAGTACACAAGCACATGAATATTTCATCATAGAAACATTTGAGTTTTGATCGTTGTTCACATAGTGAATGATAAAGTTTTATCCGTCGTAGATGACTAAATTCCAATACAGTCGAATTGAACAATTCACTAATATGTGAACATCGGTGCGTTGGAACTATGGTTGCAGTAACAACGGCCCATAGTATGGATTTTTCTTGTGCAATAGTCAAATAGTAATTATTGGTACATTGTGTGAATAGAAGATGAAATTTATTTGATGTATAAAGAAGAACTGAGTTTTCGTCAGGTGAAATCTTTTTGAACATGGTTGTACGTATATGTGATGCATGACTGTCAGCCATGATGAAATGTCCAAGAATAGACGGTGGAATTGAAACTCCATCAAAATGAATTATTATTTTGGTATCCATATGTTGGCATGTTTTACCTGAAAAGCCCTCGTGACATATACAAGTAAAGTTATTTATTGCCATACGCTCATCAGTTGGAACGCATTGACCACGGTAGTTGCATGTATCTGGCTGACAAATAGTACGTGTGAGATAACATCGAGGGCCAAATTTATTTAATGAACATACGCAAATAGATGGCCATCCACTAATGACACATAGTGAATCGGATGAACAGTAACAATCATGAGATATATTACACTGAGAGCCTATCCACCCTGGATCACATTGACAAGCTGAATTATTCTTGTTTAAAAAATGAATGCAATGACCATGATGACATACGAGTGTGCAGTCTGTCGATGTCTTGATAGGTATAGTAATTCGAGTAGCAATCCTATAGACAGGTAAAAATGGGAAAATAATAGGAAATATCCAACTTGCACGATACATAAACGTATGTTTATTGTAGGCATCGATGCGTACTGAGTAATTCTTGGATATATTCTTCGGTCGAACAGAATAAAGAAGATTGATATTGAATTTAGTATTGCAATCTCGAATAGCAAGATATTGAATTTGTTCGTATGATTCGATATTTTGTTGTTCATCGGTAAGAATAATTACCAAAGCAAAAGTGATTCTCCAGTCAGCTTCTACTCTTAGTTGTAATGTCACACTAACACGTTGACTTTGATATTGACATATGTCACCATAATACGCAGGTGGACACAAGCATCTTCTAACATTTGTATAGCGACTCTGTCGAACCACCACGTGAATGCCTCGATTGCATTGCCATTCTATGTCATTTTGTCTTAATGTAAGTGGCTTAGTTGTTGACATCTCGAAGTCGAGTTTATTTAAGTTCGATGACATAGGCAACGATGTATTTTGATAATATTGAATAGAATTTTGTTCGGGAAATTCAACTGAGTTTTGAAGAGATAAAAAAATGTGTTCTGGTTTCGAGGAAGGTGCTTGACAGAGAAATTTAACGATGTCACTGCTCCAACCATCTTTTGATTGAGTACAAGCCATTGAATAGGTTTTATCGCACACGAGTTCATCATCGTGGAGCGGACAATTATTGTCACCATCACAAAGATAGACGATGTCAATATCTAAGCAGAACGATTCATTCCAGCATTGAAATGTAGGTCCTGAATAGAGCAAATCATCCATTCGACACATATATTTTTCATCCGATGCTCCTACACAATCGACTATGCCGTCACCAACTCGATCAATTGATAAACAAGTAAGATTGAACGTCTGAGGTGAAACACACGGATAGAATGATAAAGGACATGAAGGCAAGTACGGGCAATTTATTTCATCGATTCCATTATGGCAATTCCATATATGATTACATCGCGTGTAAATATTGTTGCATGGCCACCAGTCACAATCGGTTTCGTCTGATACATTCCAAATACCATCGATCTTCATATCGATATATCCGTCACACAAAAGTGGAAATAAAATCGGTTCTATCATTCTACTATTATTGATCAATGTGTTCGATCTATTTCGAACACTACCCAATGTTTCATCATCGTTCTTGTAACAATCTTCTAAACCATCATCAAGACGATATTTTGAAATACATTTTGATGAATTAGCACACTGATACAGAGATGCATGACGACAATGTGTTCTATTTTTCATATCATGAATGGTTGAACATCTATAAAAAAATTCTTTAACTGAACGAATTAGCTGTGGCCATTTATACATATTGGGCAGATTAAACTCAGAATCGAAATGTAGACACGTAAAATTCTCAAATAGAATTGTTTTGACAGAAAAAATGTTATCACACAGTTGTTTATCATAACATAAATAATCAGGCAATAGTTGAATGGAATCAATATTGATGTCAAATGGTCGGGAAACAATTCTAAGCGATCGATTGTTCGAAAAGATGAAACGCACATGGCCGAACAGAATAGGATAATTAGGAAAGGCAAATAAAGATTGTTTACAAAACCTTCTAATCATGTTTGTGCATGCATTTACTGATGAACATACTTCTGGGCAATTACGCCAAGTGACGCACATGATAACAATTCGACAGTAACTATCATTGTCACTCAATTGTGGACGAAGCATAGCAAGTGTAATCATATTACCACGGCCATTTAAGCAATCCCCATTCTCAACGCTGCATTCTCCGTCACCACATACAAAATTATCGAATGATTTTGGTAGACATGAACGTTCTTCACATCGAAACGATGGGTCCCTGTAACATTCTCTATCAGATGTCTCTAAGAGATACTTCGTGTCCCATTCATCTGTTCGATCAGTACAATCAGGATCAACTATGTTATCGTTGTAAAGTTCCAGTGGAATGCATTGCATTCCATTGTGACATCGATATTCATTCTTATCGCATTGGTTCACTTCTAAGTCAAAACAGTTCTCTTCATCGTGACCACCATCTAAACAATCTACTTTACCATCGCATATTTCACGCCAATCCAAGCACAACGGGTTTGGACCACGACGACACGTCAAATGAATATAGCATGTTTGTCCTTGAATATCTGTCCATTCACGACTTTCTTTCAAAGATAGATATGTTAATTTAACGACTTCATCAAAAGAATAGTGTTGTTTCTTCAGAAACTTATATTGACATTGCGCTCCAAACCAAGGTGGTGAGCAGTTGTAGAAAGTCTGTTGCGATAAAGATATAGTAGGATTATTCAAAATAAATTTGATAGTGTTCAACAAGATCGATTGATGTTGACCATGCTAATAATTGTTGACTATTCACACCATTCTGAAATAATTCACCGAAGGTTATAGCTTGACTGTCATTAGATAATAATGGTTGATTTTCCGATAATAGCTCGTCATTAGACTCATTTGATGGTCGCATGCAAAAGGCCATAACCTGATGTGGACGAAGATAAAGAGTTTCATAGGTCATTTCGATATTGTCAAGTACATAATAATATAAGCAATCGTAATATTGACGATTAACAGTAATCGTTTGGTCAGTTTTATATATGTAGAACTGATGGTCAATACTGCCCAATAAGTCTATCAATGTCCACATTTGTAGAATCAAAAACAAAATCCATCGATTCATGTTTTTGTTTTACTAGATAATATATCTGTATGACTATCTGTTAGTGTCTATAGTTGTGTGTGATCTACACAATGCAGATGATACGATGATCTCATGTGTTAAAATTCATACAACCGTCAGGCATGTTCATTAAATATTAACCGGAATTAATCATCAGACGCCTATGTGAGTATGCTTCAAGATTAAAGTCAGAACACAAAGATGATATGACACGTTTTTATAACATTGAATCAAATATCCTCTGTTGGGTGTGAGTGTGGGTGCGGGTATGGGTGTGAATGTGAGTGTGGGTGTAAACTTTGGTGAAACTCTGCTAATAATCCACACCGACCCTAGTTTTCCATGATTTTCTAATGATAATTAAAATATCGGATATTTGTCAGATATAGACACAATAATTGGAAAAATTTTTACTATACACACAGTATATTAATTTCGTTAATTGAAAAGTATCTTTATCGTTTTTAGAAATAAAATTGTATATAGATCAAATATTTTATTTTATAAAAGATATGTGAGTAATAATAATAATAATAATAAATAAATTCATGAACCATATATTGCTTTTCTCATTAATCATAAATGTTGTTACAACGAAAATTTTTATTGTAACAACAATTTGCTTTTCAGATAATTCAATTGATATACATTAGAAAATCTGCCAAATGAAACTCTTCCTATAATATTATCGCACATAAGATGATTTGAAATAATTCAATCATTGTAGGTATTAAATAAATGATTTCTCTGATATATTTGAAATTTTCAACGAAAAAATTTTAATAAACATGTATCAACATTCTATACGTGTGGAAGAATTTTCGTAGGAATCATACGTTAGAAAGTACGAATGAATCTTTGAAAGGCAGAGGAAAAATTCAATCGAAATAGTTTAAAGAAAATTGCAAGCCTCTCCCTATGAAAATGATATCCTTCTCATGACTTTTATGAGAAAGTTTGAACAATAAAAATACTTTTAATAGAAGACTTTGTTGACATTCACCATACCTACATCCTGAAGAATATACATATAGACTAAGTTGATATTGGTGCTTAAAGAGTATTTGTGAAAATTCTCTCAATTCAGGGGTGTGGGTGTGGGTGTGAGTAAACAAAAGAGATTCACACCCACACCCACCACCCACCACCCACCCACACCCACACTCACACCTGCCCACCCACACCCACACCCACCCCCACCCACACCCTTTGATCATCAAGTCATCTTATTGTAATAAGAAAAAGTCGATGAAAATTTCACCTCACAATAATAAAAAATATATATAGAAATATAGATTGTGAGCTGATGAATCGAATGGTGTAATTTGTTTTGCAATTAAAGACATTTTTCATGTCGAAACAACTTCTGTCCCGAAGTTTCCTATGAAAATGACTGGAATGATGAAATTAGGAAAAAAACACATGGAGTGATCGAATTAGGAATGGAACAGACCGGAAAGAAAAATTCAGTAGGTCTCTTTCTAACGACTACTATTCATTGAAAAATATTTTTTTTTAAATTGATAGAAAGATAGAGGAATACTTTTTCTATCCGGGAATCTAAAAAGTACTTCGAACGGATATTGGGTAGAGACGTTACAAGTTTTTTTAAGAAAGAAAAAACATCGTGATCAAATTAGGGTTAGGAACTTTATTGAAATAAGCTTTCTTTAAAGAAAACAATGTTTGATTAAAAGTTTGTGGCGCAGTTTATTTTCAATATATGTTCTTATTAATCAAATCTTCGAACTTTAATTATCGAATTTACTCGTTTTAGAGAAGACTGATAAAATTGTCAACTTTAAAACCAACTGAAATTTAAAAATAATTCTGTTAAACTTAAACTTGATTTTATTCATGAATATAAATGAGAAGTAACCATAGCAATCACATTTTATTTTGCTATTGTACCTTTCTACTCTGTAAAAACTGAAGTAATGCGCGCAAAAAGTAAATTTATTTTCTCTTCTTCGCTTACTCATGCAGAGTCACATTTTATTTAAGAAATAACAACCTCTTATATAAAGGCATATGTTTAATACAGTGCGACTCACAATATTTATTCATTCCTTCGCGATTTTTTTTCTTTTTAATGAGACGCGAAGCACGGCATTTATATAGTTCATCAAGATCTTTCTATTATTTCAAGGTGAAAAGCACTTTATTGGGGTTATTTTATCAGTTCTAATTATCTGGGGTAGGATGCGAGCGTGAGCATTGGTATTGACGAAGGTGTGGATTCAGAGAAGATACTCAACTAGGCACACCGGTACTTACGTCCTGCAAAAAAAGTGACTAAGAATGACTGCTTTGAATATTTTCTCTATTCTTTAGACCCGAATTTGACTGTCTGCTATGGGATGTACATCAACAAAGATCACTTCGGTACAAGAAGCGGCACCTCGTGCAAATATTGTCAATGTGGCAAACGAAACAACCAGCCAAGCAGTACTAACATCTAGCGACATCACTACCGACTCGACTGTAGATAATAATGATGAACAAGTCACAGCTAAACCTTGTGAGAAGGACGCTGAACATGAAATTAGTACGAACGGTGAGTTATTACTATGAGCGTATTGATCGATGTATCAACAAATATGTCATTCAACAAGCAGAGAATAGGAAACTTCTACTATGTAACTTCATGAGACTACAAACACTTCTGAAGAACTGAAGCGCTCAAAAATAAGCAATAACATATTTTCTTTCCGTATTACTAGGGACCGACCAGCTCAGCTCACGAACTACGTTCAAATGAGCTGATGAACTGCTCGAACAATTCTTATGAGCGAACTGAACCGTTTTCAAACAGTTCACTCGGACGAACCGAACTTTTCGTAGGGGTACTCCTAGGTTCTCAAGGGCTACCTTATGGGAGTACCCATAGGTCCTCAAGGGCTCTCTTATAGGGGTGCTCTAGGCCCTCAACGGCTATCTTCTGGGGCACCCCTAGGTCCTCAAGGGCTACACTATGGAGGTACCCCCAGTCCTCAACGGCTACACTATGGAGATACCCCAAGGCCTGAACAACTACCTTATGAGGGTACCCGTAGCTCCTCAAGGTCTTTCGTATAGGGGTGCTTCTAGGTGCTGCGCGGGGTGGGTGTGGGTGTGGGGTGTTGGTGTGGGGTTGAGTGCGTGGGGTGTGTGGGAGTGGGTGAGTGATGAGAAGATATTCACACCCACACCCACACTCACACCCACACCCACACCCACGCCCACACCCACACCCATACCCACACTCACACCCACACCCACACCCACACCCACACCCACACCCCACCCACCGACACCCACACCCTTCTTATTCCTCTTCCCTCTCTCTCAAACCTTACAGTCTGTCTATAACTATTTCGTCGACAATCGAGTTTATTTAAAGAAACAGAATTTGTTGCAAAATCATTTTCTCATTATAAGACACCCCATATCCCATACTATTTTTGAACCATTTATTTATTTGCTGATTAAGTCCAGAACTCCAGCGGGCCTGTCCAACCCGATGGGGAAGAACTCAATGAATTCTAACTTTGATCATGAGCCTGTCTTTTGTTGATCTAATAGCATCTGATCTACCTACATTTGCAGTTTCTGACAAAAACCAACAGCCAATCTGCTCATCATTACTATCGTTGAATGCTAAGGAGCCGGAAACTAATGAAAGCAAAACGGAAGCAGCCGAAGCCAATCCTTTTGCGAATGAATTTTCGGATTTTCTTCGAATGACAATGGCTCTGAATAATCTTAATAGTATGACTGGCACGGCAAACAACAATAACGAAGGAATGGTCTTCAACATATTTACAGTCTCATCGGAAGGGGAAGGACTGTCACTGGAAGGACAGTACCCGGTGACACGAGGTAAATTAGAATTAATAGTTCGTTCGTTTTCGTTTTAGTATTTAAAGAAAGTATTACTGTTCTTTGTTTTTCTTAATACAGAAGTGCTTGATCATGTAAAATTTGGTACTCTAAAACTGTCACCGATACGCATTATGGAAGATGCTCAAGAGCCACCAAATGTTGATGACTTTGTTATCATCTTGATCGATATAAAAGACAAATCTGAAGTGTCAATAGCTCAATTACGTAATGTTGTGCCAAGTTTAGAAATATTTGCGTCTCTTGATGATTTTTGCAGTTATTATGTAGTCTACTCCTTGTCGGATACCAGAGAAAAGGAAAAACATTTTTTCATCATTGTTTCCGTACTGGCGGCAGAACGCACTCTCAGTATTGTACATGAATTTCCAACTATTGAAGCTTTCTATATATATAACAGTGATGAAAAACAGCAGAACTATCAACAGCAATATGAAAAAGTACGTGGCACATTCAATAACATTTCCTCTATTTGTGTTCAATTGAAAAAAGATGTCATTCGCTGTGCTAATAATATGCGATATCTGGATATGGTTGATACAGATGATGTCGTCAAATTTTCTAATGAAGTTGATTTAACAATACAAGATCCATCATTTATGTACGGGCAGTTAATCAAAGAAATATTTCTAAACATGGAATACGACGACAACGTCAACATAGCATTACTTGACCAATGTCGTAAGGAATATTCAAACGATAAAGATGAACTGAAATACATAGAGGCATTTGAACACGATTATTGTCCGAAGAAAGCACTATCATGGTATACTCGTCATTGCTTTATTTATAAAATGCTTAATAGAGCTTTACGTGCACAAGACATTGATATATTATATAAATTTCGATTTTTTATCAAAGATCTACATGAACAAATACAACAATTACATATGCGTCATGTTGAATCGATGGAAACAAATGTTCTGACTGTTTACCGTGGAACTCGTATGACAATTGATGAACTCGATCAATTTAAAAAGACTATTGGCTGCTTTTTGTCTATATATCAGTTTTTATCGACAAGTTCTGAACAAAAAATAGCACTAGGTTTCGCTCTTCAACATTTACATCGTCCAAATATTGAAGCTGTTATACTTGAAATTAAAATCAACGTACAAGAATGTAAAACTCCATTTGCAAATATCGAAAATTTTAGTGAATATGACATGGAAAAAGAGATACTCTTTTCCTTAGGTACAATCTATCGATTAGAATCTATAGAAAAACTAACAAACGGTATTTGGAATCTGAAATTAATACTGTGTGACGAGGGCGATCCAAAATTAGCGCATCTAACCGACTGTATAAGAGAAGAAGTTGGTGGAACCAAAGAGTTGATAAATTTGGCAGGATTAATGGAACAAATGGGTCGGTTTAACGAAGCAAAAGAATTCTACCAAATATTACTTAACGATTCTACATTTCATGGGAATGAGCCTTGCCATTTGAGCGATCTTTATTGCCACCTTGGATATGTTTGTTACCGTGTAGCATCGATAGCGGCTGATATCCGTATGGCATTTGATTATTATCGTCGCGCACTGGAAATAGATGAGAAATATCGACCCAATGAACAGTCTGTTGTATCATTATATGAGAACCTTGGTAAATTATACCTTGACCAAAAAATGTATGAGGAAGCGTTAATTCATTTTTTAAGAGCACTCGAAATAGAAACACATTCTCCTTCTCCTAGACCACAAAGAGTTGGTGCTTTGTACACTCGGATTGGAAGTGTCTACAGTGCACAAAATAAGTTTACAGTCGCTATAAAGTTTTATTCTGAAGCACTTGAGATTCAAGAAATCATTCTACCCAGTATTCATCCTGATATTGCCGATACCTATGAAGAAATGGCAGTAACGATGTTTAAACAAGGTGAAAATTATAAAAATGCATTCATTTATCTGAGAAAATCGATTGAAATATCGTTAAAATCCTTACCCGACAATCATCAATTAATTTCACAACGTCGGGAAGGTCTAGAACTTATTCGAAAAATGCTTTAAAAGAGTCAATGTGTCTTCCGACGCTAGTATTTCTTCTCGGTGAATTTCAATACTTACCGTCACACCATACTACGTGCAAAAACAAGTGCGTCCTTAAAAATAAATGAAAAGATGATAACGACTGAAAATATCACTGTAAAAACTATTTATTTGGATGTGTAGGTGTGGGTATGAGTTTAGACGTAGGTTTGGATGTAAGTATTTGAGTGTTCCATTCAAACACAGACCCACACGCTCATACCTACGTCTACACCGACATCTTTCAACACTCGAATAAAAAGTCCTCATGATAAGATTCAACGATGAATAGAATGCATAGTAAGAGTTGCTCTCCATTGATTATTCTATCAGTAAGCTATGACGATATAAAGTTAAAAAATTTAAAAAAAATAGGTGACTTGTAAGCATGAATAGGTCTATAGATGTGGGTGTGGGGTGTGGGTGCGGGTGTGAGTGTGGGTGTGGGGTGAGTGTGAGTGTGGGTGTGGCGTGTGGGCGTCGGTGAGAAGTAAAATAGGAATCACACCCACACCCCACCCACACACCCACAACCACACCCCACAACGTCATTGGTATACTCATATAGTATCAGACAGATCTTCATCATACGTTTATACAGCGCCTAATTTATCAAAAACTTTTGAAGTGGATCCGTATACCAAAATATTGTGTACTAATATCGCCTGTAAACTGAACCTATTCGACAAAATAACCAATCTAATATTAAATAGTAATTTAATAACAGACAAAGATCAATATCATTTTCTCAATGTTACTTCATTAACGTTAGTTGTCTTGGAAGATGTGATTAATGGTTCTTCAGTACAAATAAATCTCATTCAATATCTGAAAATGATGGTTAATTTATCAAAATTAAAACATTTAGATATCTCAAAATATCAGACAATAATCTTATCAAAAAATTATTAGAATTATTAAAAGAATCACTCCAGTTATCATCAATGCCAATTGATCTAGTTGAGGGTGTGGATGTGTGAGTGTGAATGTATTGCTTCTTTTCATCCACATCCACATCCACACATACACCTCACTTCCTCAAGATACTATAGTGAAGGTAGTAATAAATCCTAATTATTAAGGATTCTTAAATACCCCTAGGTCTCCATTTCAGTTTGAAATCAAGTGCGCTTTTTTTTCTCTAAATTCAGATTGAAATTAAATAGACCATTGTATGACTTTCTGCAAAATTCGCTTCTATCCATTCATTCTGAGTATTCTTCTTTCACGTCAATTCATCAGTTTGATCTCGATCGATTGATGGTTAGTGACATCGTCCAGTGTGTGGCTTCGTAATCAGAATTCACTACTAGCAGCTTGATGGTTGATTGGATGTGGGTGTTGATGTGGGTGAGATTCTTTGCTTCACCTATACCTGCGCCCACATCCACACTCATATCTTTCGATGCAGATAAAACATATTTGAACAGATCCTTTAGTAAATACTTCCATTTATTTCTAAATCATAAAGTTGTTCGATTTCTCAATAAGGTAATATGAAAAAAAAGGCATAACACTCAGAAAATTTATCGATATACTTTGCAATCCATTTGTGGGTACAGTGATTTCAGATTCTATCGTAATAGCTTCAGCAACTCGTATTGCTGATGAAAGGGCACCCTCGACCCATCCATGAACAAAGCTGGTATATTCGCCAATAAAATGGACATTCGAAACCGATGCTTCTAACTTGTCAACAAGTTCAGTCTCTTGAAATGGAATTAAATAAGCAAAAGCACCACGTACATGAGGATCTTGACACCAATGTTTCACTTTTCCACCTTGAAAATAGTTACGCATGTTGGATGAATTTCTGTGAATTTGTATCAATTGTTGTAATACTAATTCGATTGCATCAGAGTCAGATAGAGATTGCCATATTATCGAATTCGGTCCTAATGTGTATGAAGCAAGAAGAGTACCACCATCTGTTTGATTACTCGTCGTTTTTGGATAATAAATAGAACGAATAGGTAAATCGCTGGTTGATGAACCTCCACTGATATGTTCTTGAACATACCACCACGACACATTAAAGAAAAGAAGAATTTTCGACGAACAAATGTAGTGTACTTGTCGTAAAGCCAAATATTTCTGAATAAAATCTCTGCGAGGTTCAAACTCGAACAATTGAGCGACAGTTGGTGATGTTGCTACAACTACTGTATCAAAGATTTGATTCGTACCATTGTTCGTTCTCAATTGAATCTCATTCGATGCTAACAATTGTACTTGATTGATAGGAGTCGAATAGAGAATCGAACAGCGATTTGACTGTATTGCTCGACAATCATCAACCATTGATCGTACTAATTGATCGTTGCCGTCCCGAATTTGATACAACTTATCATCACTAGCGGGAAGATTGATACTGCGCACGGATTCCACAATAGATGTAAAAAGAAACCCCTCACTACCGCGAGAAATGGCTATATAGTCAATAGCTGCACGTGACAAATTCATATGATGCAAATATGAATCCATTGAGTATGAATCCCATTGCTTTACAACTGCTGACCAACCTCCGTTAAAGAATGTTTGGTGAATAGTCTGAAGAGCATCTGAGAACAAGCGATTGGGAGTCTGCAAGATTGTTATCTTGAGATAGTTATGTATCAACAAAAAATGATTCTCTTACCTTGCCTCGTTCACTGGCACTGGTATTAAATTGAAATATATCTGGATTTTCACGTGCTTGCTTGTTTCTAGTCAAAATTCCATTAATATATGTATATGCATTGTCATCAGGACTAGAAAATTCAGTAATATTCAATTTGTATCGTTCTCGAATCAGTTGATTTAAATAAGGATGACGACTGAGAGGAAAACGCATTGCACCAAATTCACCCATATATTTCGTTGGATTTTTTGGATCTCGATAAGTTAGAATCCGACCACCAGCTCGATCAGTCGCCTCAAAAATTGTCACTGTATGACCTGCTTCGGCCAGAAGAATGCCACAATACAAACCAGCGGCACCTATCCGTGAATAGTGAAATGTAAAAAAAAAAATAATTTAATTTGGAATATTTTCAAAAGAAATTAGACAAGTTATTCTTTTGTTCTTTTTCCTATTTATATATACTCTATCAGACAAATTTTGCACATCCTTTGTCAATGGTGATGTTTCAGAAATGTACATAGTTCAAATATATGATGGTTTATTATTTTGATTGCCACTCAAAAATACGATAGCACAGATTTACGACATAACTATCTATAGAGAACGCCAGTTTTATGATCATATATATGCGAAGATTATGTAACTTTCAAATAATGTTATACAAGCACGCATAAGCCTAAGTATTCGTATCTGTTGAAAAATAATGTATCATTGACAGCATCGGCAATTTAGAAAATCAAGAATGACAATAATTTAAGTGGTGAAGGTCAGATCAATCTAAGAAGAATATTAGGACATATTGATATGTATCAGCAAATTGGTTGGCAACAGTCTATTAGTTGAGTAGACGTTTCAAAATTGATAGGTCGAACATTGAAAAATAGCAGCTATTTCGATATTCACAAGAGGAAATTTCGGAAGTTCTAGATGTTGGTTTATCCAGATTGCCATTACTTTCTAAATTGCTGCAATATCTAAAACTATTGAAGTTTTCGTCATTCTGCATTATAAAAACGAGATAGAATCGTTAGGTGATAGCATTGTCCGCTTGTAAAATTCAATTTATTGTCATTTCGTGATACTAAAAAATCTGTAGAGGTCTATGAAATTAGTAACATAGTTGAGAATATCAAGTTCTAGTCATATTGTGTACAGGAGAAATACTCATAATGGCTCAAATTCAACGCCATTCAATATATGGCATTCAAATTTATCAGTTTGATAATCACAAATTCAATCGTACGTGAAGGTTGATTTATTTGCTCAACAAATTCTTGCCTCTAAGATTGTTGCTACTTCTGAAATTTCCGAAAATCAATTTTTTCAAATGTAGTTTTTTTTTCGTTCATAGAATTTCGTACATTGCTAGATGGCTAATCCTCGCTAGCATAATGACATGATATCCGCTTTCGATTAGCTAGAAGAGACAAACTCACCTCCTCCAATAATACCAATCCGACGACATTGATTTTGTTGATATGAACATTTCGGTAAGCCATTGATGCTGATTTGAAGCCTTTGCTCTGAATATTCTTGTGCGATCTTCGAATTCTTTTGTTTCGCAGCAATGAATGAGGGTTCAGCATATTGGCCGAATGCAGTTAAAGGAGAAAAAAATTCAGATGGTATAATAAACCATGTGCATTGAAAAAAGAGTAATAGAAAGAAGAAACTTTGACAACCTGAAGCCATGTATCAGTCAAGTCACGAAAGAAGCAGAATAACTTGTCTTGTTTTTTACTATACAACGAATAGAAGAAAGAATATAAAGCATAATAAAATTGATATCTGCGTCACATTAACAAGAGACAATAAAGTTATCAACTGTTGAATACAGCCAATCGCAAAAAAATGCCATTCGAGAAAAAGTAATACCGTATCTTAAGTTCGGTTGCAACTTCACCTTCTCAGCTAGTTCATGTCACCACGTTCTTTCCTTTTTTTTTAACATTTATTTTATTGTCTCTATATTAGGGTTGACAATGCAAAAAGAGAGAAAAAAAAGGAAAAAGAACAATCAAATAGTAAATAATAGCAGAGTGAAGAGCGAAAGAAAAGACTGAGAGTGAAATACCCACACTCACATTTTTCTTTGCAGACTTTGTCATGGACACCAGTAAAACTTGTTTAACATGCAAAAGTAAACATTTCTATGTTCTATTTTTGCAAAAAGTCGCCAAGAATTAAGCAAAAAATCGAAAAAATTTCTGGACCGATCAGTCTGGAATAGCCGTTTCCATCGGACGGTATATCGACAGGTAAGAAATCCTAGACTGGATTGAACCGACCGTTTCCCGAGACTGATTGCAACACAGTCTATAGCAACTACGGATGAGTCACTTTGCCTTTATCATGCTTTCTTTGTCAAGTGTTTTTTCTGTTATCACATCTTTCGTCTAGAGATTTATTGCTGTATATTCTTTCAACAATTAAAGTGCTGCTCGTCAAACCAAGCTTGCAGTGTCTAATATCAACATGCTTTACAATCTGAATAGAAGTAGACAAGCACTTTGATTTATAGGAAAGAACAAAATTCAGTAGAAAAGCGACGACGATGTCCACTCCGTTAACATTTTTCTATAGAATATCGATGAGGATCTCATTTTGAAGCGCTTCTAATTTTGATAATAACATTTTTTAGAAGAAAATGTAACACGAACTTGTTCAAGGTTTTCTTTTTGGTGAATAGATCAGAAGGAAAGAAACGATGAAACGATGTGCTTATCTCGTCTTGTATTTCAGACAAAGGTTTCTATAGTAAAATGAGATCTAATATGCTTGATGTCAGGCTTGACATCGTGATTTTTGCATCCCATTTAAAAAAAATTAGCTAAAAATCAGATTTACATTGATTTTGGATGTGATTTAAAATCGATTTTAAGTCACATCTGAAATCAGTTTCAATCGTTGCAAGGTACGAAATCTAATTTAAATCAGATATCTGGATTTTGAGAGATTTAAACCTGATTTAAATCAGGTTTCCAGATTTGGGTGTGGGTGTGGATGTGGTGTAGGTGTAGTGTGGGTATGCCTGTGGGTGTGAGTATGGGTCTGAGTATGGATCAATAGTAGATGGCACCCATATCCACACCCTCCCACCACCCCACACCTACATCCACACACCTCACACCCACACACCCAGACCCACACCCACACTCATAATCATTTAACTCACATGAAATGAATAAAAGATCGACTAAATTGCTTTTAAAGAGTATCACAATTGTATAAGCAATAAATAGTATTGCTTTTTATATAAAATTCAACGTGTAAATGTTCTATCAATGGTGGCTTTTTTAAATAAATAGTCAACACTAATTGGGCACTTTAAAGGTTTTTGAAAGTGTTTGAAGAACGAGAATAATAGAAAGAAGAATATTAAACATTTCATAGGCGTATAAGGCGAGAGATATTCAAGCAAAAATAACAAATGAGAGAAATTTCATTTTATCTATTAATATAACAAAACTTTATATGACAAAGTTATTTTATTGCTTTCATTATGTCCAGGTAATTATATAAGAGAGGATGCGGGTGTGGGTTTTACATAAATTCACATCCACACCCGCCTTACTTAATTGCTTAAGTTTTATTCGATTAATAAATTCTACTGATTTTTGAGATAATCTTTTGACATATAATTCATGAGTAATCTTTTGTAATTCTGAACAAGCTTGTTGTTCACGCTGATCGGAAGTAGATATACGACTGTCTCGTAGACAATTTTGGACCATAAATCGACTTTGACATAGTATAATAGATTTTAGATCTTTGATAAACATAGATATTTGTTTTGGTGTTAAATCTTATCGACGTCAATAAAAGGTGATGAAGCTATTATTTTTCTATAAATATATATACAGCTCCGACGACAATGATGCTGCTTCATCGTTCATTTGATGTCGCGTCGGAGCGTTCTCGAAAAATGTCTTCATTTTATATTACATCATTATTTCGAAATGTTTTTTCATAGTTTATTCACAATATTCGATTGCTTCAATGAACTCCTTTCACGACTCTTGTAGATCATCATGATTATCTAATGAAAACTTTTGTTTTAAATTAATAGATTCTTATAAATGACCATACTAAG